TTAAAAGTGCCATTTCCGTTACCTCCTCGTGGTTCTTAATCTTTCTTACATTTTCATTTAAGTCTAAAACTACAGGTAGTATAATAAGATAGATTAGTAAACAAAACAGGTTAAGCTTTTAAACTTGATATAATCTCCACTTTTTCCCCAAAAACTGCTTTGCACTGATCAAGAAAATGTGATTATTTCTGCTATAATCTGGATTTTTTTTTACAGATCTTTTCTTATTTCTTCTCAAGCTGGCTGTAGGAATTCTTGAAAGGGATAAAGTCTTAAGCATCAATGTAACCGGGAAGGCTCGAAGTCAGGTGGACATACTGGTGGAGAACATGGGCCGAGTAAACTACGGAAAACAGATCAACGATTTTAAGGTTTGTTTCTGTGCTACAACATGTCGTGCTGATGTTTGTCCTTTGGACATTTTAGTGTTTGTGTAAGTATCCCAGATCTACGGTCATGCGGAATTTGGTCACTTTTGTAAAAATTGTCCAGAGGTTCATGTAGGGTTTTTTTTGGTTCTTCAGAGTTTCATCAATCAGAGATCAGATAATAAAACATAATAATTGACACACAAACAAAACTATTTTCTGTTTATCTATTATTATTATTATTATTATTGTTAGCTGTTTAAAAAAAAAGTCCCGTGAGATCTTCTCTTCTCTTCTCACAGGGCTTGGTGTCTAATCTGACCCTGGGGGCGGACCTTCTCACCGACTGGACCATGTACAGTCTCAGTATTGATGAAGCAGTCATGAAGGGCCTCCTCGGAGAAAAAGAGCCTGCACTTTTTGATCCACCTCAGCCAGCTGATCTCTCCCCTCCAGCTTTCTATGGGGGAAGCTTCGTGATACCCGACGGGATCCCAGACCTCCCTCAGGACACCTACATCAAGCTGAGCAGTTGGAGAAAGGCATGTGACATGTTTTATAGCACGCACTGGTGCTAACTTGTCAAAAGACAGGTTTTGCTTTTCTCTGCTGAATGTTCTTATGCATTTAATATTTTTGGTTTTAGAGGGTCTGCTAGATAGAAGGTGACAGTTTGACCTCAAAGTACATGTGTTTATGTGACAGTATACAGACTGAATATTCATTTTTAGTTGCATCCTGGTAAATGAAATTATTGTGTACAATTTTTTAGGACCAGGTGGTGTATTAGACCTTTGACATCTAGATAGATACACAAGATATTTTTAATTTTTGTTAATTATTTAATTTTATTTTGATGAAAAATGGGCTAAGTAGCTTGTCTTTGTGATTTTGTGTTTTTCAGGGACAGATCTGGATAAACGGCTTTAATGTAGGACGTTACTGGCCGACTCGAGGGCCTCAGATGACACTTTTTGTCCCTGCTAACATCCTCAGTACAGCTGCACCAAACAATGTGACCGTCCTGGAGCTTGAAGGGGCTCTCTGCGGCTCTAAAGCGTGCACTGTGGAGTTCACCAACACCCCCATCCTCAATGCAACAGTCCAGTCTGACTACAAACAGCACAGGAGGCTGTTTGTTAAAGAGGATTTACTGTGACGATAAGAAAACTCTCCGCTGCACAAAAGGGATCTATTTGCACATTTAGACTCATTGATTTAGCACTTGTTGGGTCACCTCAACAATCTTTCTTTTTTTTTTTAAACTATGAAAAGTGGTTAAATTTGGGAAATAATATCAATGATGTGTGTTTTTGTGCATTTTGCTGAATTATTTTAGCCTGTTTTTTATCAGCACATTAACTTCGGGTTTCTCTACCTCACTGATTCCACATGATTCCAAATTCACAGACTTTTTTTCCTCTTCAAAAAGGGAATGAAGTGAAAGCCACTGAAAGCTGTTTTTTTTTTTTTTCTTTGTTGTTCAAAACTCAGATCAGGGAATTATTGTATTTTTAAATTACTGCGGGATTGCTGCTTTTATTCTTTTACATTACATTACATGCACTCTGAGTTTGATTTACCTTTATACACCTTTCAAATAAAAACCAAATAATTTGGAATTTCAGAAATCCCCTTTGTCTTGTCTTTGTATGAAAAGATACCAGTCCGCCTGGCTGCTGTGGTGGTACAGTGGTTGGAAGGGTTGGGATCTGCTGCCGAGGCTTGTCTGTGTCCAAAAACATGGATGTAGGTTCTTCTGAAGTGGCCTTGGGTGAGGCTGCACTTAAGTGCACAAAAACATGTAGTCCTCTCTATAAAAGGTAAGCGTTGTTTGTGGTGGGAAATACTGGGTTTTATGTATCCATCACCATAAGGCAAACAAAGCCATTATGGCCACTTTATTAGATATACTTAGCTTGTTAACACAAATGTCTAATCATCCAATCACATGGCACCAACTCAAAGCATTTAGATATGTAGTCATTGTGAAAACAACCTGATAAAGTCTAAGTGACTGAACGTGGTCTGAATATTGCAGATAGTGCTGGTCTGCTGGGATTTTCCTGCACAAAACTGTGTAACCCAGTGAACAGCGGTTCTCTGAGTGAAAGTGTTTTGAGGTCAGATGAGAATAGCCAGACTGTCTCCAGCTGATAGGAAGGCAACAATAAGTAGATTGGGTAGTATTTTACAATCTCTGGCTCTCTTCCACAGCATGACTTTGTCCTGTCTTCCTTCTCTGACCCCATCCAGTCGTGGTAGATGGCTGCCCTTCCCTGAGACTGGTTCTGCTGGAGGTTTCTTCCTGTTAAAAAGGGAGTTTTTCCTTCCCACTGTCGCCAAAGTGCTTAATCATAGGGGTCATATGATTGTTGGGATTTTGTCTGTATGTATTATTGTAGGGTCTAACTTACAATATAAATCATCTTGAGGTGGCTGTTGTTGTGATTCGGCGCTGTATAAAATTGAATTGAATTGAAAAACATTGCCTGCTCTAACAAATCTTGATTTCTGGTGCAACATTTGGATGCTAGGCTCAGAATTGGATATAAAACAATGGATTCATCCATCCTTGTGTCAGGATGCAGGACCTGCACGACTTGATGGATGAATGAATTCTGCTCTCTACCAAAAAATTCTGAAGAAGCATGACCGGCCATCAGTTTATGCCCTGACGTTCAAGAGCTCAGGTTATGCAGCAGTGCAATGATTGGAAACATACTAGCAAGTCCATCTCTGAATGGCTCATCAAAACAGGGTTTGGAGTGGCCAAGTCAATATCTGGACTTGAAATAAGCCGAGACACTTTGGAACGTCCTAAAAAGTCTGTTCATGATTTGAAATTGTCAAATGTGACTGAATTAAAACAATTTTGCAAAAAAGAGTGGGATAAAATTCATCCATAAAGATGTGAAAGCCTCATTGCCAAATGCTTGTGTGCAGCTCTTGCTGCCAGGGGTGTCACAACCAGTTATTAGCTTTAGGGAGCAATAACCTTTTTTACACAGTAGGCTGGATAACTTTGCTTTTCTTTTCTTTTATATGGAATCATTGTTTCAAAACAAAACCACCATTAAATGCAAAACCCCCAGACTGAGAAACGGCTTCATTCCAGAAGCTGTGAGACGTCTCAATACATAATGGACAAGAAACTGCTACTGTGGTGTAATCACTACAGATACTTTGCTGCTAAAATACTTATACCTACACTTCTATACTTTATACTGTTACTCAGGTTGTTGCACTTTACTTATTTGTATTATTCTATTACTTATCTGTATTATTTATTGCTATTTGGTACTATTTTATTACCGGTCATTCTGTTGTTTTTATGGAAAACCGGGACTGTGGGTATGTAATTTCGTTCCATCTCATGTAAACATGCGATGAGAATGACAATAAAGCTTCCTTGAATCCTTGAAAACAGAATTGTTAAAAGTTATTTGATGATCTGAAACATGTAAGTGTGAGAAAAAGACACACACACACAGAAGAAAAACTCAGGAAAGGGAAGATACTTTTTCACAGCGCTGTGGCGATTTCTCTGGTTATAAAACAAATCTGAACAAGGTTACAGGAACTCAGTGGATAAAGCAGGATGACTGGATATCAGGTATTCCAGTGAGAAGTTACTTCCTAACACAGGAAAGACTAAAGAACTGCATAGTAAGATAATGTATTTCATTTCTGTCCCGATTCTTTTATGATGGGCTGAGAATAAACAACAAATACTCAGAGCAGGTCCGGCCAACAACAATTATTTATTAAGCACATATATGTGGTAGATCCACACGACACCACCCAAAGCGCAGTCCGGTAGATCTCAAATTGGAAGCACACAGGCTTCACTATTTTAAAGGGCTGAACACGCACTGTCTGCATAAGCAAAGTATGTTATCATGCAACAGTGACAGTTAACTTCATCCCCCTCTAAGGCAGTAATGTTCACACCTCACTTACAGTCTCAGCGCTCTTTCACTCTGTTTTGTTTCCTGTTCCTCTCGGTATGAGGCCCATGATCATGAGTTTCACATCCTGTTCCAACTTTACCGTATGCAGTTACAAGCAATTTATTAACTTCTGGATTACTATGACACTTACTGCTGCATAATATATATTTTCCAAATTTCCTGGAGCCTGCTGTGCTTGTGGCTTCCCTGCAGTTTGTTGCACCCTTTTTTGTGAGGTGCTAAGGCAAGTTTACTCTCCTTGTTTCAGGTATGTGCCTTTCAGCCTTTTCAACATTAACACTTTGAAGTTGTCATATTCAAAGGAAACTAAACAAATAATTGATCATTCACATCTTGTCAGTTCCATGTTTCTGGACTGTGTAAAGTGTTAAAGAACTTTTTTCTATCCGCATTTGATCCTGCAGTGGTTTCTTGCAGTCTGTAGACGAAGAGGCAGAAAAATGGGGCAGAAAAGAAAAATGCTTCTTGCTGCAATAATTTTTATAGCTGTCTGTTACAAAGTAAGAATCGTAATTCAAACAAATATTAGAAGGTTAAAAAATTATACATTTAAAAATGTCTTTTTAAATGTCTTTTTAAATGTGATATATCAATTAGGTGACCGCGAAGGAAACAAGACTACTGGATGTCCAAAAGACCACAAATGTTGTGGATGATCTGTACTATGGATGCCGTGAAGAGGCCATGAAGAAGTTCATCGAGTCAGACGTGTTAAAACAAGAACTAAATAACAGTGAAGGATTTCAGAAAGCATGGAATAAAAGTATTGAGTGTTCAAAGCAGATCCCTCAAGGACGAAAAGAGCATACTGCTGCACTTTCAGTCTATGTTAATGAGGAGAAATCGTTCATACAAACACTGAACAAAGCAATAGAGACAATGGGTGGAAATGTTAGCATCTATGAAGACCACTTCAACCTCAAGTCTCTTCATTTCCTGCTGATGGACTCCATGAGGCTGCTGAAGCCAAAGGAGTGCAAGAACTTTTATGTTTTTCAAGATGGTCAAAACAAACCACAGAAAGGCTCCACAGTGAGATTTACAAGTTTCACTTTAGCTTATTCAGACTATGAAGCGCTAAAGAGACCTAAACATGTCAATGAGAGTACTATTTTACATCTCACTTCTTGCTTCTTTGTCAACCTGAAAGACTATGTGTGCGGTCAAGAACAGGATGAAATACTCTTATCTCCAGCAGAAGTTTTCACTGTGGAACAAGTGAAAACAAAAACTACATCGGATGGTGACGAATACCTTGAGATTGATTTGAAACAGTCGGGACTGAAAAGCTCACACAACTGTTACATCTTTTCACGGTAAGATTCATATTCTCTCAAGTAAAGTGAAATTTTTTTTATTAGTTCTACAGAAATTAAACTTGGAACTACAAATATATCTTTCAGTGTGATGTTAAATATATAAATATGTTTTTTATGTATTTGAAAAAAAAAAAGCTCTAGTTGCATATACTAAAATACTTAAGCCCCATAAATCAAAAGAGGGAAATATTGGTGTCTGAAACAGTCTGTTACTCTGTTATAACTTAGTGGTTGTTATTGCTGTAAGTACACAGTAATAACTGGGGAATACTCAGCTTATCAAAGCTTTTATAAACTCTGGAAAGCATGATGTAAAATTAAGTGATGTGAAAAGTAGCAAAAAGAGGATTTTAAAATGTGAGGATTGCTCTCCACATCTCCACTGGGGTTGAATAAAACCACGTGTCAGTAGATTTTACTTAAAGTATTTTCTCTCCTTTATCAATCCAGGATGTCAGTAGGTCAGGAGACTACCACAGCTGTTGCAGAGCGAGACAGGTAAACTATTATTATTAATGATTATTTTTGTGATAATAATAATAATAATAATAATAATATGCTTTTTTCCCATGTCTTCAGGTCTCCTCCAGCTGTTGTCGCCACCCTGTGGCTTGTATCAGTGCTTGCAGCCTTATCTTCTGTTTCTTTAGCTGTTTAGCAAAAACAGTTATCATTCAGAGTTTTCTGGGTTTTATAATCTGCAATATTGCTTTGATTATTCATACACTTTTTTTTAGGTCTTTATTTGGCAGATTGTGGTGAATTGCAGTATTGCAGTATTGTGTCAAAACATAGTCAAATACAGTTTTCTGCTTCTGTCATATATTATGAATTATAAACTCAGTTTTTATTTTCTTTATGCACGCTAGAAAAATGTACAGCATACTTGAAATATATATACAGTATGTGTTTATTATTTCTTGTTAGGGTTTGCATGCCTTTAAAATGATTATAGGAAATGAGTGATGGGAATGAAAAAAGACGATATGTGTCGATAAGGTCAGAATAAAGGTTTGGTACAGTTGCTTCTGGTGTACCTCCAAGTATTCAACAATGGAAATACAATAATTCTTTAATGCAATTCTGGAAAACGATTGTATATTATATTTAATATATGTATATTACAACATAAACGACTTTCAGGAAAACCTTAATGTATGATTCACAGGACTAAACTAAATACGCCCTTACTGATTAGGGTAAGTGGCATTCAGTAGTGATGTGCGATACCACTGATTTACTTTCCAACCCGATACCAAGTATAATTCAGGGTGGTATCGGCGATACTGATCCGATACCGATACTCTGTACAAAAACTTTTTTTTTTACTGTATCTTTTATTGTATCTCAAATTATAGCTTCATAATGATTACAGGACGTCAGATTACTTGTTCTTATCACTTAATAATGCAGAATTATCATACAGAAAACTGAAGTTGTGCGCCATTTGAGCATGTTCCCTGCCTGCAGCACTAAAGGACTCCTCGAGAGTCGTCTGTCTCGCCCTAGCAGCACCTGTCCCCCTCCTCGTCTTTAGTTCGCCTCAACATACGCTTGTCATATTCTGTGATATGATTTACTCTGAGGTGTTTGACGAGGTAAATGGTGTCGCCACAACACCTCACTTTCTTGCCACATGTATCACAAACCGCATCTTGGCTGTTTGTGGAGGTAAAATACATCCGCACATGACTCCATTTACGCCCAGCCATTGTTGTGAGTGCGCACGCCAAGGGGCTGCGACACATTTATACAGCCGTATTTCGCACATGACTATGAAAGGCAGAAGAGGAAGTAGTTCCTTCCAATGTAGACAATCCAAATGATATAGTTTCTTTCCACTCTGTTCCTGTTAATGATAAACTACAAATTTACCCTAAATTACTAAAATATCGATATTTTAATGTGAGAATCGATTCTAGAACATAAATGACTGGTATCGGAGGAATCGATATTTCAGTATCGATCCGCACATCACTAGCATTCAGGTACTGCCATCTCTATAAAACATATTTTGGTACTGGAGCATTCAGCTTTGTGTTAACTATATAATCTTTCCATGCCTGGTCTTCCCAGTAAAATCACAAAAAGCCCAAAGAATTGCATTTTAGACTCTACAGGCCAAACATGTCAAATGTTAACTGAGTGGAACCCCGACTTACAAAATTAATTCGTTCCCGAGGGTCTTTCGTAAGTCGAAAATTTTCGTAAGTCGAAGCTGAACAATAGGCTATAGGCTAATTGCTAACTAGAACCACAATACGTCGATCAAGTGGAACAGCGAAGCGCAAGTACGGAAACCAAAGGGTTGTCACATGATTCGGAAGGCATTGTGGGCATTGTAGGCTCAGCCAACCAGAACCAGCGGATTTTATTACTCGGGCATTTTGCCGTAACACAGGCAAAAATATTGCCGTTCAGTGCATTCGTAACTTGAATTTTTCGAATAACTAAAAATAATAATTATGTATAATTTGTTACAAATATTCAGACTTATAAACTTAAATTACATTCATGCAAATTAATTGTTGCTGTGGGTCAAATATTTGTGCACGTTTGTTGAGGTATTTCCTCACTTTGCTGTGATCAGTGTTACTCAAAAAAGTAATTACTGCACATATTACCCAGAACACTTTTCTCAAAACTAAAGCTGTACGTTACTTAATTACTGCCAGGAAAAAGTAATTCATTTTACTACTCATTACGTTACTTTCCTGTTACTCTGTAAAACAGCTGAAACCCACTGACTCATAATCACCATTTAACAATATAACCTGAGGCTAAGGTTATACACACCAACACAAATACCTAATGAGGACACACGTCTCTAGCATCTTTCTCGTAGTAGAATACAAAGCTGACCACACACCAAAAGAAAAAGAAGACCAACACCAAAAAGGGCCACAGTGATTTTGATTAGAAACATAAACAGGTAGAAAGTGAAGCTGCAGCTTAACTGCTCATCTTCTTGTTACCTGTCAAGGTTCAGGGTCTGGCAGCTGGGGTCGGCATTCACTCAGCTTTCACTCTGGGTTCTTGGCTAGCTTAGCATTAGCATGCTTTCTTGGCTGATGCTTGCAAAGTACTGAAGTTAGTGTCAGCAGCATAATGCGGTTATTTCTGTCATGGATGTAGTTTTGCACTTTGCCATTTATCTTGTCTTTTTGTGCAATAAAGTAAATGTCCATGTCCACACTAGACTGTGTTACTTTTTTCTTCCTCTGACACGTGAACTGATATCGGTTGATTGTAGTGCGAGCGCAAGAACCAATAAGCCTGATCAATAGGCAGGTGAACAATTCCAAGGAATTGGACTACTGGGAACCAGTTTTCTAGAGGATTTTTTAGACAATCTGGATTAATTGGTAGGGTCATTCTTGCTTTTTTTTTTTATAATTAATTACTTGCTAATTAAATATCGATTGATGCCAACAACTCAGCCAGACATCACTTAACCGAGAGAATCTAGGCTAACACGAAACCTGTGCATGTTTGATTCTTGAGCAGGTTGTGAACATTTCTGTGGACGTCATTGAAAAACATGCAACAAAGAAGCTGCTGAACTGAATAAAAGACAATGCTCGGATATTGTGAGACTTCCTGAGTCTGACAGGAAGCCAGACCTCATTCTTTTTCATTTAACACTGCAGGATGTGTTTGTCCTGTATTCTTCTCTGCAATGGTGGACCACAGCTCTGGTCACTGACTGTAGTCCGGCTGTTTAAACATATTTCACTAAACCACTGTGTCAACTTTCTGTTTTATAAAGATTTGAGGGTTTGCTTAAGACCTTTGCAACTGCACTTCCTCTCTCTCTCTCTCTCTCTCTCTCTCTCTCTCTCTCTCTCTCTCTCTCTCTCTCTCTCTCTCTCTCTCTCTCTCCAGTAGATGGGAAGAAAACAGAGTATGCAAACCCAATACTAAAAACAGAATCTCCTTGGTTTAAAAAAAATAGAAATCAGGAAGGCAGTAAATGCATAGCACCATATATCTGTTGCAACCTGAAAGGCAGAGGAGACTGGAAGGTGGTGTCGGGGGAGAATGTGGCTAGGCTGTGGATGGTAGGCTGTCACATGGCTTTAGAAATCAAGAAATGGAAACAAGTGAAGGCTGAGCCAAGGATTAAATGGTGAATGTTGAGGAAGTAAGAATGTCACACAGAGTTCATGAAGGAGTTGCGACAGCCTCTGAGGAGTAGCGAAGAGTTAGCAGATGACTGGGAAGGTACAGCTGCAGGGCTGAGGGAAACTGGCAGCAAGATGTTTGGTGCTCTACAAAGAAAAATATTCAAAGAACAAAGGTTAACAAAGAAAAAGCGGGATAGTGAGGGAGATGAAGAAAGTAGACAGGAGTACTGGGAAACTAGGTGTAGAGCAAAGATGGCAGACAATGGCAAAGGTTGTATTCAGTGTTGGGGTCATTACTCAAAATAGTAATCTATTATACAACATGAGTTAGTGAAATCATACTTCAGAATCAGTTTTAGTAGCAAGGAAGTTATTGCTCTTTTAACGCGTAAACACAGTGTGGTAATGAGTATAAGGGCATCCAGGAAATTGTGCAATGAACAGATGCAAGAATACTGATGTTTACACCCTTGTGCAATAAGGACGATGCATGTTGTATCAGAATACACAATAACACAGCTGATCAAGTTGTTTCACTAACTGATCTACACAAGGAAATTTGTTGAGGGTATAGGAATTGTGTCAGTTGTTTGAATTGAAACAATAACTGTAATCTGCCCATTTCAACTTTAATCTCAAAATGAACATTTTTTTTAAATGTGCCGCTCTTACTCCTTCCTACATTACGTACATAAAGTTAAGGTGCACCCCAGTGTGGACAGCAGTTCTGTTATACAACAGCTTGTTTTCATACAGTTTCATTCCTGTAACTTTAATATGCCCTCATTTGTCCAAGTAGGGCTGCTGGAGTCTCTTGTTTACTTTAGATAAAATCTGCATGGAACAAGGACTGTGGTATTTGGTCCCATCAGTTATACTGAAATAATGTGAGAACAGGGATGTAAAGGCAATTTGGTGCTTTGGTTGGGCTTAAAAGAGCTAAGTTATGTAGACATTACTTGACAAATCTAAACAAGGTTACAGAAACTCAGTAGCTCCAGAAGGACAAATAACAGGAAAAATCAGTGGAAAACAAATCCCCCGGTGCCATGTTACTTCCTCCACAGGAAAGACTAAGAAGTTCTATGGTAAGATAACTTGCTTCACTTCTCCAGACCCTATTGGGTGTCCCGGCTGTTTGATGGACTCTTTGCTGTGAGTTGCTAGCACAAGTTTACTTCCCTTGCTTCTGGTAAGTGCCTTTTAGTTTTTTTTAGTCTTCTACTTATATATTTTTTCCACATCAAAGTTTCTGGACCATGTAAAGTGTTAAAGAACTTTTTTCTATCCACATGTGATCCTGCAGTGCTTTCTTTCAGTCTGTAGAAGAAGAGGAAAAAAATGGAGTACAAAAAAAGAGTGCTTCTTGCTACAATATTTTTTTTCACAGCTGTCTGCTACAAAGTAAGAATTATGTTTCATACAAACAAATATAAGAAGATTTGAAAAATTATCCTCCTAAAATGCTTTTAAAAATGATATATCTCTATTAATGTGTTTTTAAATGTGATAAATCTCAATTAAAGGTGACAGCACAGGAAACAAGGCTACTGGATTTTCTAAATAGCACAAATGTTGTAGATGACCAGTACAAAGGATGTCGTGAAGAGGCCATGAAGAAGTTCATCGAGTCAGATGTGTTAAAACGAGAGCTAAATAACAGTGAAGGATTTCAGAAAGCGTGGAATAAAAGTAACGAGTGTTCAAAGCAGATCCCTGGAGGAAGAAAAGAGCATAGTGCTGCACTTTCAGTCTATCTTAAAGCGGATAAATCGTTCATACAAACACTGAACAAAGCAATAGAGACAATGGGTGGAAATGTTAGCATCTATGAAAACCGCTTCAACTTCAAGTCTCTTCATTTCCTGCTGATGGACTCCATGAGGCTGCTGAAGCCAAAGGAGTGCAAGAACGTTTATGTTTTTCAAGATGGTCAAAACAAACCACAGAAAGGCTCCACAGTGAGATTTACAAGTTTCACTTTAGCTTATTCAGACTATGAAGAGCTAAAGAGTCTTGAAGATGTCAATGAGAATACTATTTTAAATCTCACTTCATGCTTCTTTGTCAACCTGAAAGACTATGTGTGCGGTCTAGAACAGGATGAAATACTCTTGTCTCCAGCAGAAGTTTTCACTGTGGAACAAGTGGAAACAAAAAGTACATCGGATGGTGACGAATACCTTGAGATTGATTTGAAACAGTCAGGACTGAACAGCTCACACAACTGTTACATCTTTACACGGTAAGATTCATATTCTCTCAATTAAAGTGAAATATTTTTCTATTAAACTTGGAACTGCAAAGTTAACTTTTAATGTGGTGTTTATCATGTGAGTGTTAACATATTCGAAGGAGATACAAACATTTTACGTAGTCTAAGTGCATATAATAAAAATATGATAAAAATACTTCATAAGCCCCATACATTCTGTATTTCTATATAACATATATATATATTAGGGGTGCAACGATACTCCTATCGATATTGAACCGTTTGATACAGTGCTTTCGGTTCAGTGCGCATATGTATCGAACAATACAACATTTTTTATTTATTTCATCAACTTTTCTTCTGACGATGCTGTCTGTGTTGAGCGCTCAGTGGATCTGCGTTCGACTACTCCGCCTAGGCTGCACTGTCGAGCGCAGATCCACTGAGCGCAGCGCAAGCTAGCAAGACAGAAGCTAAGCTCGTTGCAACATGGCAACTTCCTCAATGCTACCCGAAATTGAACCTCCCCCACCCTCATTCAGATCTGGCGTTTGGAACTATCTTGGTTTTCATGTGAAGTGAACTGAACCGTGAACTTTGTGTATCGTTGCACCCCTAATATATATATATATAATATAACAAAAATATTAGTAACACATATTTATTTATCTCAATAAATGTGCATACACCTAAACAATGAAAACTACTAAGAAAAATCATAGGTGTTGTCAGGAAAGCATGAAGTGAGTGGAAGTGGCATGAAAAGTGGCAAAAACGGGATTTTAAAAGTGAGGTTTATCTCTCCACATGTCCAGTGTTGAGGTTGGGTGTGGTTTGAAAATGTGTCAGCACATTTACTTCAATTACTGTTTTTGGCTTATCCAATTCAGCACTTCAAGAGGGCATGAGACTACCACAGCTGTCATCGAGCGATCCAGGTGACTATTATTGCTATTTTTATTGTTATCATTATTATTACTATTATTATTATTATTATTATTATTATCCGTTAATTTATTTTGTCTTTTCTAATTCAGTGTTCCAGGAGTGAATGAGACTACCACAGTTGTCACAGACCGAAACAGGTAAATTATTATTATTATTATTATTATTATTATTATTATTATTATTATTATTATTATTATTAT